GATGCAAAGTTTACGAAAACTTGATACAATCTTCAAAGGCCCGTAAACGAGATCAAGTAATTTAAGCCGAAATAAGCAAAATTACTCCGGCATTGTCGGCTTCTCAACAACGTTACGGAAATCTGTTGGCCCAAGTACTTCCCCAAATTAAATTTAATATTGTAACATGATTAAGTGTAATATTTCAATAAAAATGTGAGGTATTAGAATGGACCTTTTGTACAATTTGTATGGAAATCCCGCTGTACTTTCCGGCAAAGCTGATGTCCTTCCTCACTTTGGTATTCAGAGTGCGGCCTGAGGGAAAATTAAGGTAGCCCACAACGGGTATGTGGACTTTGATTCCATGCCGATTTTTATGCGTAAAAATAGCGGCCTTCTCATATGGTATGCATAAAGAATCGCCGAGGAAGACATTTTACGAAGGAGCATTTTGTGTAAGCTGTCATACCAAGAGTATTCCATTATAGTCCGCCATGTCCCTTATTTCATTGCCATAGAGATCAAAAGTACTTTCTTGATTTACAATCTTGTTAACATAGTAACATCAATTACTAGAACGTGTTTCAATTACATTTCGTATTAATTAAATTAGAGGAATCACTCAACGATTGCTTTATTTCCTCACGATGCTGACTAGTGGATGTTTTAACTGTTATTATGCTCCTTAGAACGTTGCAAAAGAGTTCTTTTATACGATGTAATTGTTATACTTTTGGTGTTGTAATCAGTACTATCTTGGCGTCACTTCGTCGACGCTCCGCAGCACTTTCATTCCTGCAAGAACTTCGAGAACTTATCTTAGTTAGATGCGATCAATTTTCATTTTCTGCCGATTATAAAATTTCTGAGATGAGCGAGTATTATTAAAGTTCTGTTGTTTCAATCGTACTTTAATAAGATTACGTTAAAGTAGCTTTATAAGAAATAATGTTATTGAAAAAAAAAGTAGCGATATAACATCAAGTAAGATCATTAAATTAGTAAAGATTGTACTTCGATATACTTAAAGGTGAGCTTGTAAGTTAAGTGTAAGCTGAGACAATACAAAATATTTAAAAACGGAAACTGTTTTATGTTTATTTTTTCAGTCACCTATAATATCTCAACCGTAGTTATTTAAACCACTATGGTGACATTAGAGATTGTTATATAAAAATATTTTTTGTATATTAAGAAGAATTAAGAATCATTCATTTACTGATACATAAGAAGTTACTAATACTCGTACATATAACGACTCAGATAATTTCCTAATACAATAAAATCGCATCTCCTAGCAATGTGGTTTGAAATCCAGTCTAACCTGGAAGAAATCGCTTTTTAGCGATAAAGCCGCCGATTGTACTCATAAACTCTATCCATTGTTAGATATTATTTAATTATAGAGTACAATAAAGTATTCATTCGTTTTTTTTTTTTGTATAAGGGTGGAGTGGATTATAACAATGCTACTCCTATTGTATCACATTTAAGAAAACATATTTTATCATTTCCTTCTATTAGCAACCTAAAGTTGTCTAAATACCAATTATCTAGCTTTGCGAAAGTTAATAACAAGCAGAACATAAATAACAAGAGACGACGGATTTGTTTTCGTTCTCAGACTCCAGTATTTACATATTACACAAACGGAAGACCTGCGATATATTTGCAAGATGATAAACAAAACGGAATACGGGAAAGTTATAATTTACGGAATTTCGCCGGTAGCAGCGCGGGCACGAGGGGCGCGGGTGCCGTATCATCGTGTCATTTTCCCTCCCCAGGAACATTTGTCAGAAATTAAAACAAAATCTCCTGATATAATACCAACACAATCTTTTTGGACACGTTTACCTTCAAATGTTGTCGTAAAATTAGCAATAGTACCTACGGCTAACACCCATTTTCACTAACCTAGAACAGGTCATAGTTTAACTAGGAAACGCCTAATATTACGAATCGCTTAAAAAGCTTAGTTTAATTTCAAATATTTTTCTTTTCTTTTATCCCTTGACGTCTTTATGTGTTGATATATGCAAATGCCTAGCGCAAGGCGCCGTATAACGTATATCATAACTTGAGACATTGCTTCATTATGTTAGCTGGTTCCTAGTCAATGGTGAAATGCATTTTTACCTTAAGTCTATTCCTAAATATTTAGGCGACAGATTTGGGGACTCCTGAGTTTAGTGGAAACGGGCATAATTGTATTACTCTCTGCTAAATCCTAGGCTCTTTCAAAGTGAGGGTGGATGGAAGACGTTCAGTGGACACGCCATCCGCCTTTAAATGGGTCCATGCGAGTCGAGGGACTTTCCACACACAAATCATTTGTCAAACCGCAGGGATAGTGCATAAATTTCTCTACGACTAAAAAACAAGGTTATATCAACTAATGCCACCCTACACCGGCTAATCAGTAAGGACAGCAGAATGTGTTTTAAACCAATTAAAGTTGGTTTTTAGCATATCGGAGGTTAAAAACAGCGGGCCTTTTTAGGTCAGCACCTTAGCAGCTTAACATAAACATTGAAGTATTAGAATGATATAAACTGTTTAAAAATATATTTTAGTTATGATTTAATAGAAATGAAATATAATATGAATAGAAAGTTTACAAAAGTCTGAAACCCCATCCTAGATCTATAAAAAAATAATAGACAATAAAGTGTATAGGCGGCAATACTAGTCATTAATCAATCAATCAATCATTTATTGCATAAAAATATGGTATAACAGATGTCATAAAATAAGGGTATCACATATTTACTGTTTGACAGTGTGCAATAGTTTGAGTAGATATATAAATTTACATTTTAATCTATTCATGCATTAACTATGATATTATTTTATTCGCCCATCATTAACTTAAAAACATTTGATTCAGTTCCTATTACATATTATTTCAGTCTTATAGTTTAAAAATAATTATTAGTAATAATTTCAAAATTCGAATCAATTTATATGTTACAAAAATAATAAGTCAAGTATGCTTAATACATAAATCCATGTCAATTACAAAATAATTTTATCATACACATTATAAAATATGTCATTATATATAATTTATTTATAGTGTCGTTGTATATAATAATTTATTTATTTATATGCGGTTTTTACTCTACTAAAATTGCTTGCATTCCAAATATTCCTGTATCGAGTAAAATGATTTGTTCAGAAGCCACTCCGTCAAAGCTTTTTTAAAAATGTTTCTGTTAATCGGTAAGTCTACCAGTTTCGATGGAAGCTTGTTGAATATATTTATAGCCATACAATATACATTTTGTTTGAATAATCCAAATTACATTTCGGAATAACAATTTTATTTTGTCTCGAACTTCGTGGGTCTTTTTTTATCACTCTGACTTTAGTAAAATATTGTGGATTTTTTTTTACAAATAAACACAGTTCACAAATGTAAATGCAAGGCAAGGCAAAGGTAATATTTTTAATTCTTTAAACATAGGCTTTCAGGAGTTTCGTCTTTTTATACCACATATTGCTCGTATGCATTTTTTTGAGCTATAAATAGTCTTTTCAAATATACGCTATTACCCCATATTATTAAAGCATAACGTAGCAAAGATGATACGTATCCATGATATGCTTGTAAGGCTATATTTTTAGAAGCGACTATTCTGACTTTATAAAGTGCAAAAACGAATTTATCTATTTTTGTAGCTAAACTATCAATGTGATTTTTCCAGTGTATATGCTCATCCAGAGTTATGCCTAAAAACCACGCTGTACTTACTATGTCAATATTGGAATGTTTATAATGTATATTTAAGTTTATTCTTTTAGATTTAGCTGTATGAAATTGTATTATGTTATTTTTTGATATGTTAATGTATATATATTATGATAACCACAAGCTTTTGTATATTATGTATACGGTGTATTATATGTATTATGTATATATAATGATATAAATTTAAACAAAAAAATTGATTTTATATTAATTATTCTCAATAGTCCGTCATCTTAAGTGGTTCGCCATATTGGATATAAATGGAATTAATTTTTTATTATACCTATTTGATCCATTCTGCATTCACAATGCTATATTGAAAAATGCTCAAAAAAAGGACAACCAAGCCAAAGTGAATTTTTTGAGCATTTTTCATTGAAATTTATTTTTTTATTAGTAATCTTGTCAGAGAACGGTTTCATTTGATACCCATATTGTGAGAGTATTTAAATATAACTGTCGTGTTGGCTGGTCCGCCATATTACTCTTGCAATTTTGTTAGTAAACCCTTTAAAATGTCTGTTGTTTTTTTTTATATAGAACCTTCATTGTGTACAGAACCCCAGCTCGCTCTATACTGGTTCTTTTATTAATTTAATAATTTTAAACTTGAAAGATAATTTATTTCTGCGATAGTAGCAATAGCTTTTTCACCAAACAAAAATAAAAAATTGGTATTAAATACTCTTATGTCATCGGTCAGTAGCCAAACGTCCATTAACGTTTAATGACGTCTGTAAACTCTAATTAATGTAAAATTTGTGTCGATAGTATCGGTAATGTCGCTTTAAACTAATGACAATTTTAATGGATGTTTATGCAATTTTAAATATAGTGTTTCAAAACGAGCTATGTTGTTACATCCAAAAATGTGTTATATTTTGACTTTTTAAAGTAACAGGCAAATTTCCACTGGTTTGACTAAAATTAAAGTTACAGCAAAGCAAAGCTATTCTCCAAAACAAATCTCGAAAAATTAGTCAGAGAAACATCTTCAAAGCATCTCAAGGGTCTGCCGCTTTTCAAATAAACATCACTCGACGACTGTAGCAAATAGAAATAAATAATTCATTACCCAATGACGACATCGGAATAAAAGCTCTCGATTTCTGCAGAAATAGCCTCTAGTAAAATATATGGTCTGTTGTCTCAGAATAGAAGCTAGGTGTTTGTAACATCCATCATGCTCAGAACAACTCGCATTGGGCAGATTGATCGGAGCCGCCGGAAAGCGCAAATATAGCAGAGGAACGCTGAGACAAAAATGGTGAGAGCAAACAAATGCGTTGTCGATAGTCTGACAGAAGGATTGATAGTTGGTCGAAGTGGGTGGGTTGCCGGCCATAGACGGACGCGAAAAAACAACGTTACAGAGTCGTTTAGACGCAGTTATGTTCGTATATAAATTAAAACCTCATTTACTTCTACAATCTAGTATTAAATCATTGTTTATTGTGGGTAATTTATTGTTATACTTGCCAACCTGACACCCTTATATCGCCTTTGTACATTTTATGTTTTCAGTAACGTCTACTCAGATCCGATATCTGTGATAAGTCACCAATGTGTAATTTGAGGAAAAAATAATGGCCAAGAGCAAATCCGTTTTGTGTAGAGAAAGTTCTATACAAATATATATTTTTTAAACTACATACATTTCTCATTCGATATTCTTTACTACGTATACAACAACGGAGCATGCCTCTGTTAATTATTATTGTTGCCATGATTACCTACTTAATACGACGAACAATATAACTATTTTGTACTGTACATTGACTGCTTCGTTACGTAATAAATAACATTATTCAAGTCACCAATTACCCTATCATCAAAATATTAAAATATTTTTAGGTATTATTAGGCATGTTACGCCGAAGTTGCCATGACTTTTATATGAAATGTTGGATAACATTCAATCGATGTTAGTAAACTCTAATAACCTTTTAAAGTTATTACTTGGAATATTGTACGGTGAAGTTATTACATAAGTTTTAATTGAATTGAAATGACTTGAAAGTACCATATTGGATACTCGTTTATATCAAAATTGTTGTAATATCTAACAGATGATACTTCAAACTTTTGTATAGCAAGCAATATAATAATTAAGTAGTTCCATGAATCTAATCATTTTCCCAAATACGTGTATGGTTTAGTGATTTTTATTTCTTCACATGAAACGATTACACGGATTTCGATTCACAGAATTGATAGCCTGACTATTACATGCAATATCGCTAACTTACTCTTTTAATTAAATTGTGAAGGTACACGAACGAATTTAAGAAAGCAGAAAGATTTGATTATATGTTTGTTTGCATTGAGTAAGCTCAGAAACTAATTAACCGATTTTTAAAAAATTTAAAATCGTTTCGATTAAGATATTGTAATGCAAAATCGTAGTGTAAGTCCAAAAGAAATAGCCAGATATATATTGACTGATTTTTTTACAAATAAAGCAAGTTTTGTTTTTTTTTGCAAAAACAATGCCATTAAGCATTTTTTTGGTAAAACATTTAATGAATATCGATCCGCAGGCTCCATCGTCACAAGATATGACATTATGCGACTTCTTTTGTCGTAAAAGATATTAAAAAAATATATTTTGTAACGATGTTTTTCAGTTTTTAATTTGAGCTTACATTTTTATTGCAGAGTTCGTGATGGCAGAAGGAAGTACGACAGGCACCTACCCAGCACGATCACCCATGTCTGGCTCCACTACGGGACATTCCAGCTCCAGTCATCACAGGTATGCACATCAACAACATTATATTTTAATATTCAAGGTCTTGCGCCTAAATTTGCGAACCGTTGATTTAGTTTTAACTACCCATTTGTTAACAACTCAGAGTAAATAGACGAAGTAGTAACTTCGAATTTAAATAACGAACAAATAAGCCGTAATTAAAAATGAGAAAACTACATTACATTTTGAAGGACTCTGTCACAGCCAAAATATGAATTTATAACATTTTCTATATTAAAAAAAAACACGATAAAACTACCCTGAATGTATCGTATACGTAAAAACTCGCCTGAATTCAATATAAAATCGTTTGGTTTTATTTGTTTTTATTAAAATTAAAATAATTACAAATAATTAGAGTAATTAAATAAAAATAATTACAAATAATTAGAGTAATTAATAAATTAAAACAAATAATAAGAATAATTAATAAAACCAAACGATTTTATATTGAATTCAGGCGAGGTTTTACGTATACGATAAATTCAGGGTAGTTTTTTTCGTGTTTTTTTTTTTTAATATAGAAAATGTTATAAATTCATACTTTGGGTGTGACAGAGTCCTTCAAAACGTAATGTCGTTTTCTCATTATTAATTACAGCTTATTTGATCGTTATTTATTTACATTAAACCAGAAAGTGAGTGATTTTTAATGTACCCTCTTTTGTTTATCATAAACTAACTTTTAGCTAGCGACTTCGTCAGCGTGGTCCTATATTATAAAATAAATTTCGTCTTAAATCCGTCTGTATATTAATGGAAACCTTATTAATATCCGTTGTGTAAATTAAAAATCTCAGCTTACTGACAGCGGGAGGAGACTGTTTTATACAATGTATAATTGTATACATATGTAGACAAAATTTATCGATGTATTTACAATACAGGATTAAATTTGATGTTTGTTTCACATACTCAACATTTAGCAAATTTTTAAATTTTTTTTTGAAGTTTTCAAAGCGTAATTAATATTTTGCAAATAAGTGTCATTAAAATTTCTTTTGATAAATATTTGTAAGTTAAAATGCTTCATATTTTTCGAGCATATAAAAGAAACCTGTATTTTTACTTATAGGACACAACCCTATTTTACTTTATTACGATACAATATGAGAATTTACTTAATTGTTTGTATTTTTCAAATTGAAACATTTCATAAGAATCGTGTTCGGACAATTCACTGTGAACTGTGAAAAAATGTTACACAACAACAAAAAATAGTGTGTTTAAAAATATTTTATTATTATATTTATACACAAAGCAGACAGTATAAAGTAGTATGAAAGGCATGGTTAAAGTTTATTTAGAAGCGCAGAATGCTAATAACTTTCTTTAATAGTACTTGAATTTTTTTTTAATATACTTCGTACCATAAAACACATCACACTAACACGTGTTTAGCTTTTGTGAATGTCAAAAAATCATACATAAGTATATAGTCTTCTATATTAAAACATTATTAATGCCCAAACGTGTGTAAAAACTGAAAAGTCAAACAAATAAACACCAAAGAACATTTCGTTAAATCAAGATTCACCGAAAAATAATAGTTTCGCGAGTGAAAGTGCTCACAAATCAATTATAAACATAACCTGCAAAAGTGCTTGTCATCCTGAGCACAGATTATAGACTTTGACAGTTTACATCAACCTGACATTAGTACCTAACTAGTGTTGCCAGTATAAGAAAAATAATTTGCACTAACCTACCATCGCCGACAAGTGTTGTCAGTTGAAGGAAACTAAAACACCCAAAAAAGAAAATGAATATAGATACGGCACTATTGTTAGATAAACTAAATGAAAAACTAAACCAACAAACATTAGTCATAACAACTGCTGTAACAAATAATGTGTTGGAAGTTTTGAACGAAAAACTTTCAGGCTTAATAGAAGAAAACAATGTTCTAAAAAAATAAAGTAACATATTTGGAACAGAAACTAAATATCGTAGAAAAAGAGAAACGCAAGAACAACCTCATCTTTTTTGGAATACAAGAACTTGGCAAAACAGAAATCGAACTGGTTGACTATATAAAAGACTCGATAGAAGATGCAGGTGTACATTTGAACAGTCAAGAGATCGCCAATGTACAAAGAATTGGTCGTTGGACGGGGAAGAAAAACCGCCCCGTAGTAGTATCTTTCTGCTTATGGAAAAAGCACCTAGTCATGAAGAATAAAACTAACTTGCCACAGGACATCTATATCAAGGAAGACTTTCCCAAGGAGGTTCTCGAAAAAAGGCGCCAATTAAAAATTCAAGCCGATGAAGAAAGGAAGAAGGGGAACATTGCTTTCATAAAATATGATAAACTTATGGTGAAAACACACTCAGAGGCAAGCCGAGACAAAAGAAAAAGAGAGGATACCAGTTCACCAAAGGAGTCACAACAAAAGAAAACTACCACACAAACCAAATCAGCACCGCAGCCTACCAAAACGAGTACAAACACAATAGCGAAACCGGGAATACTGAACTATGTTGAGCGTACTAGATCAGCCTCATTATCCGCCCTTTCAAAAAACTAACTACCGACAACCCCCGGAACCGATACAACAACAAAATTGCAACTATAACAGAACCAACTCAAAAAAACTGCACCCCAAGCCGGCTAGTCACCGTGGGGCTAAGCGACTATAACCCTCTAGAGAACCACAAAGTCCAAAATATATTGTCAAAACACAACACTAACGCATTACTTATTTGCACATACAATGTAAAGACATTAGGCATGAAAGAAAAACTCCTTGAACTGAAAGAAACAATGCAAAATATTAAATACGACATAATAGGATTAGCTGAAGTACGACGTTTAGGAACAAAAAGTACAGAAGATGAAGATCATATCTTATGTACCACAGGTCAAACTCCAGGCCTATACGGTGTCGGATTTCTAATAAAAACAAAGCTTAAACACAACATCGAAAACTACACAGGAATATCAGAAAAAGTATGTTTACTACAACTAAAATTTGATGATTATAATCTTACTCTCATACAAGTCTATGCTCCAACAGAAAAAGCTAGCGAAGACGAAGTGGAAAAATTTTACCAGGAAGTTCAGCTAGCCCATGAATTAGCAGGAAAGAATGTGATTTGCATGGGAGATTTTAATGCTAGAATTGGCACACCAAAAAAAGAAGAATCGCTGATTACTGGGAAATTTGGGTATGGAACCAGGAACAAACGAGGAGTAAGACTACTCCATTACGCTTATGAACAAAATCTAACTATAATCAACACCTTATTTAAGAAAAATAAGAAGAAAAAATGGACATGGCTTTCTCCCGACAAGAAAACAAAAAATGAGATTGATTTTATCTTATCAAATTCTCCTGGCTCATTTACAAATTTTGAAACTATATCCACCGGTTTCCCAACAGACCACACGATGCTAAGAGGCTCATTCAAACTAAAAGCCCCGAAATTAAGTAGGAAAAATTTCACTAATCCGAAAAATCAACTAAAGACATTAGAAGACAGATCAGAATATATTGCTAACTTAAAAAACGCTGCACCTGACCTTTTCGAAAAAGGAAATGAAAGTCTAGATGTCAACACATATTACAAAAAAATTGAAACCATAATTAAAACTTGCCTAAATAAACAAAAAGGCTACAGTCAACGTCGAAAACCAAATATACTTTCAGAATACACGTTAAACCTAATGAAAGAAAGAAGTCAACTACTACACAAGCAACACCTAAGTCAGGATGAAAAAGCTAGACTTACCTATCTATTCAAAACAACCAACAAAGAGATAAAAAGAAATTATAAAGATCATAGGGAATCAATATTTACGAGACATCTAAAATCTTCCGGAAGTCTAAAAATGGCAATTAAAGAACTAAATACAGGAAAGGAATGGATTCCAACAATAAATGCGAACTCTCCAAAACAACAAACTAGGACAGATGTGATCAACACCGCCACAGAATTCTACAGACGGTTATATAGCGCCTCTAAAGACTTATACCACGAAGATATAGAAACTTTAATTACACCTAGACTAAATCAAAAAGAAGAAACGCCGTACTTTAAAGAGATCGACATATTAAGTAAATTGGAGAAATTAAAAGAGCACAAAAGCCAAGGCACCGACGGGATATCAAACGAAGCTATAAAACTAGCAAAACCAGTGATTCTTAACCCCTTAACGAGATTATTTAACAAAATTCTTGATGAAGAAACTGTTCCGAAGACATGGACTGAGTCAGAAATAATACTGATGTATAAAAAGGGCGACCCCACAGACGTGGGAAATTACAGGCCCATAAGTATAATGCCATGTTTATATAAACTTTTCGCTAGTTGCCTACTGGAAAGACTCAACAACGACATAGAAAACTACCAACCAAAAGAACAAGCAGGGTTTAGAAAATCGTTCAGCACAATTGACCACATACAAGTATTAGAGCAAATAATTGAAAAATATTATGAATTTCGCAGACCATTATATCTAGCTTTCATTGACTATAAGAAGGCATTTGACTCTATATCTCATCGAAGCATTTGGAATGCCCTTTATGATCAAAATATAAACACTAAATACATCAGAATCATCAAACACATCTACGAAAACAGTACTAGCAAAGTCAAGTTAGAAAATTCAGGACAAAGAATAGAAATTAACAGAGGAGTTAGACAAGGCGATCCACTGTCACCTAAATTATTCATATCAGTCCTCCAAAACACAATGAAAAATCTATCTTGGGAAAGCAAAGGCTTAAAAATCGACAGGGAACGTCTTCACCATCTATGTTTCGCAGACGACATTGTGCTTTTCTCAGAAAGCCCCACAGAGCTCCAATCCATGATGTCAGAACTTTACAACGCAAGCACGAGCGTGGGCCTAGAAATGAATATCTCAAAAACAAAAATCATGTCTAATCATCACAGAACTCCTATTCTTATAAACAATAATGTGGTTGAGTATGTAGACGAATATATTTATCTAGGCAAACAAGTTTCCTTTCGCAAAAATAACAACAGAGAAGAAATAGACAGGCGAATAGCAATCACGTGGAGAAAGTTCTGGAGCTACAAAGAAGTTATGAAGTCTAACATGGACTTAAAATTAAAAAAGAAAGTAATGGACTCGTGTCTCTTGCCCTGTCTCGCTTATGGATGTCAAACGTGGATATTTGATACCATAACCAGAAGAAAACTCACATCGTGTCAAAGAGGCTTAGAACGTAGTTCACTAAACATCAAGCTAAAGGACAGGGTTCGCCATGGGAAAATAAGAAAGCAGACTGGTGTGATAGATGTCTTGTCCTTCGCTCGTGGCCTGAAATGGAGGTGGGCGGGCCACGTGGCACGCTACACTGATAAGAGGTGGACAAAGACTGTGACTATGTGGAGTGGTCCCCATGGATATAGAAGCAGAGGCCGACCAAAAGCGAGATGGAAGGACGAAATAGAATCATTCGGTACAAGAAATTGACCAATTCTGGCAAAAAACCGCGTTAAGTGGTAATCTCTGGAGGAGGACTTTACCCGTAGAGGGGTCCAGGTGGCATTAGACTAGAGGATACTTAACGATAACCTACTAACATGTACTGTTCACATGCCAAATGGAATAAAAAGGCTTTTTTATTTATTTTATTAATGCCCAAACTAATGTTGAATTTGACAATTGAACGACTTACTTTGTGGTATTGGCAAACTAACAAGTGCACGCGCACTTGAAATCGTGTGCATGCTACTAAGTGGCATGCACTCGATTTCAAGGTGTCGCCATCTCTAAGGTCCCGGTTTCGGGTCCCTTTCGGACCAATCAGTAGAAAATTAACTCTGTATTGTCTCTGGTCTGGGAGTTGTGCTAACTTCTTTGTTTTAGATTCCCATAATTCAAGTGCATATAAATAACAAACAGTATAAGATAACATATAAAAACCTCTGAGGTTTGAATTGTGTTATCAGAGTCTACAAACTAGATTTTATTTTCGTTATTATAAATACTTAATTTGAGATCAAAGCAATGTATGTGATGTTTTCTTATATTTTTTATTGAAAATTTACTACAGTAGAAGTGGAAACCTGCCATTATTATTTATTGATATCTGATTATTTTTTGAAAACATCACAAACTAGAAATTTATTAATAATATTGTTAATTAATCACATCTCCATAATTTTTTAGCACTTTAAAAACATATTTCTATTAAGAATACAATTAATCTTGGAAAAAGAAATTAACAATTCCGAAATATTTGAACATCGCCTCACTTCAGACCGACTTTACCCTTGTTTTAAGAAATGATATGTGGACTTTATTCATACAGTTAGTAAAGTTCAATATTTTAAATAATATACCTACATTAAGCGCACCTCTACTAACGTAAATTTTAATACTAATATCGTAAACAGTTACAAATATTTTATATTTTTTAAGAAGTGTATATAGCGTTTTATTATAAAACACATTCGTAAGAAATAACTGTGCACAAGCTCTCATGTAATAAACTCGTCAAAAATGCACATAAAATCCCACAAATTTAATAAAGACATTTTTGCGATAAAAGAGTGCCTGCGAGTAAGGCCAAAACCTTTATTAATGCACTTATATTCTAAAACTTCCTTTGAGCTGTTAAATCCCCCCGAAATTAATCTTAACTCTCATCTAAGGCATCGTGGATGGCTGGCATTCCAGCGGCGTATTGAAAAGCGGGCGCGGTGAGACAATTTTTTACATGTCGAATTTCAAATTCAATAAAGTTTTTGATGTGTAATTATAAAATTTTTTAACAAAAAAAAAACGTCCTATACAGAATCATAAAGCAAAAAACAATATCAAACTCTCTTTCATTTAACTCAACAGGTAATAATGAAAAATAATTATGGAAACGTAGAGATTTTTAATGAATTTTAATTGTTCACTGTTTTCAAATATTCGTTATTGGTTCAAAATGTTCAAAGTTGAAAGAAATTAATAAGCGTTTTATATATTTTTTTGTTCTAATATACATTCCTGTAATTATATACAAGTGCCTAGTATAGTATTAGTACGAATGAAGCTGCCCACATAATTTTGATCGAACTTCACTTGGTAAGTTCGTTCATCATCAATAATATAATAAACATACATCGTTCTTTTACACAACTCCTTTTTAACTGATCTCGCGTTTGGCGGAACTGATTTTAATGCGATTTTCAGGCTTAGGAGAAGGTTTAAGGTATATTAATTACCGTCTGAGAAGAACTGGCGAAACAAACTCCGACAATAAAAAGTGAATTGCTCCCTTTGATTTCATATTTACAGAATGAACTAACTGTATAATTTGGTTTTGCAATGTGTGATCTGGATTGAGATTTTATTTGACTAATTACTGGATCCCAAGCAGGTGAAATGTGCCAACCTTCATCTCTATTAAAATTCGGATGTTTTTTAATTTCTATAGCGTCGCGTATCATTCTAGTAATTATTTTTTGTTCAGCCGCAAGTATTTATCTCCTAACGTAACATACTGCAGATTTATTTTCACGTCTATGCTTAACGTCAGCTACATGTTCCCTAACGCGAGGT